CGAGGTGCGGGCGTGACACCGAGGGTTGCGATCCCATTGCTGGTCCCGGTCTGGTACGGGCGCAACACTGAGGGTTGCGATCCATTGCCGGTCACGAAAAAAGACAAAAAGGAAAAAAAATAAAAATAAAAATAAAGATGCGTAGTTTCTATAATCATAGAGGAAGAGGACTTTTGTGTATTTTTTCTCCGTGATTTTATTTTTACATATTTATGGTAGGAAAATCAGAATATACAGATAAACCAGTAAATTTTACTGCCAGTGAAAAATTACCAGTTTAACATGTAGATGTTTACCTTTCTTTGCTTAATTTTATACATTTAAATAAAAATGCATTTTGGTTCATGTGAGGTTTTTGTAATTTCAATAAATCTATAATGTCTCCATATCTTTAAAAATTAAAGTTTATTGAAAAAATAAGGAACATTTTAAACTTAAGAATCATATTTCTCATATTTAGTCTGAATTTTCATTTTCTGAATGATGTGTTGAATTTTTGATAGCTAATATTGTTCCTATTTTTTAATATTTATATATTTTTACCATACATATTGCATGTCTTACATATGCCATACTGACATGTGATACATAAATACATATAGTTATATAATTTTGTATTTTTTTTTTCAGAGAATAACAGTTTGGAGGACCAAGATGTTGACCAACTTAAGGATATTTGCAGTGAATCATCAGAAAATACCCAGTTTGCACATTAATGTAAGCTTTTCTTGTAAAATTAAACATACATCTACAACCTCAGTTATTTTACTGCCCCAAAGGTCTAGTATAGCTTACCAGCTTTTGATTCCAAACTTACTTTAGTCATAACCTTTGGGTATCCTCAAGGTAAACTAATTTAAAAGAAATTACCTTAATTTAATAAGAAATGTAATAAGAAATTACCTTAATTTAAAAAAGAACAACAGATAAAGCTAAATTCTGGTCTCGTGGAATACTAAAATGCCAGTTGTTTTTGGAGGAAGGTCGTGCTGTATATCTCTTCTAAGAATAGCAGCACTAAATGCACATCTTTAAACTGCTAACAAAAATGCTTTGTACTCTCAAGTATCCACAGGTTGAGACTCCTGTGAAATAAAGTTCCTCTTAAATTAATTTCAAGGTATAACATAATTGTACAATGGTTGATAAAATAAAACTGCTTTTGGCTTTCTTCTGCGGAGCTCTTGGAAGCCAGCTTTTTGAACAGTCTGTTATTTGTCTCATATTTCAGGAATGTTGTTTTTGTTTTTAAGCTCTAGTCTGACTCCTGAATCTTCTCCAAAACACTAAAAATTATTTTGTAAATTGTCATATTGTAAGTATACTTTAGAGATATTAATCCTTAAATAAAATCATGCTCTGTTATTTATATACAGCTAAGTGAGAGACAACTTTAAAACTTGTCTAGGTCATTTCTCTTTATCTTCAGCAATGACTTAACAGGGAGTATTGGAGAACTTGTAACTGAGAAGCATGCCTTCTCATTAGTCTATAAATTCATTTTCACTACTTTAAAATCACCTTGCCACATTTTGAAGAATATGTATTTCTATATTCCATTTTTCATGTCATTAAGTAGCCCAAGGAGTTAGTTTTTCTTCAGAGTTTTTATCGTTGACACTTCCAGACTACATATCCTGACACGTGAACACTGGGTCTTCTTATCCTGGTCATTATGCAGTGGAAATGTAAATAGCTTTGAGTCTCTTCTCTGCTCTTGAAATATTAGGATAATAGTGTATTATTGCCAGTACCACGGTTATTAATGTAGAAATAATATAGGAGGCACAGACATGCATTCCAAGATATCATAAAAAGCAGATTGTGGTAGCCCAAAATCATTGTATACACTAACTGATAATTCCAAATGTATTGGCAGCCATTAAATGTGTATCTGTGGTCTAGGGATAAATTGGAGATGGAGAATATTTAACCTCTACATGAGAGCATTAGGAGAAGTTAAGGGAAGCAGCTAGAGTGGAGGTTAAACTTGACCTTAAGCAGACCTGCTCTAACTCAGTTCATCAGTTGTAATGCTACATTGGAAGCACATAGGGAACTCTTAAAAAATGCCACCACCCAGTTCTCCCAACTCTCCTTTCCTTAGCCCACCCCCATGTATCTAAGAAGCTTTCCAGATGATTCTAATGTGTAACTACTCTTATAAGTCCTGAAAACAGGTAGTGGTTTTAGCGTTCATGACCCCCACAAGCTCTTAGCACGTCCATAGAGGAGAACCAAGTTATATCCAAGGTGAGATACCTTATTTAATCTTTCAGACTCTCTTATCTAAACTTTAGGATAGTGGTTCTCAAACTTGTTACAGGAATCACCTGGAGGCCTTGTTAAACGAGATTGCTGGGCCCCATCCCCAGGAGTTTCTGATCCTCTTTTCTGGAGCGGAGACTGAGAATTTGCATTTCAGCATGTCCCTGACTCATGCTAATGTTGAAGGTCTGAGAACCATTGTTTTAAGGTCAGCTCAAAATAGCCAATCAGTATTAATTTTATCCTTATTCCCTGTAGTATAAGTTTGGGTCGTCACTTTTTAAAAGAATTGGAGTTAATGAAGTGGGACTACTTTAAGGAGATGCAAACTATTTTATCTTCTGACAAAGCATAGTTACAGTGTTAAAACTACTGTAATAAGTCATGCTAAAAGTTTTGTTTTTCCTTACTAGAATATGTGCTGCTGTAAAATAAGAGCAAGTTTAAAAAGATTCAAGCCACATGTACCTCTTGGAAGAAATTACAGTTCCTTACCAGGTACAAATGTTAGATTCTTCTCATTTCACCTAAACTGCTTGTTCTCTCTTTTTTCCCTCTTTCATTTCCTGAATCTCCCTTATTACGGGTGGTTCTGAGGGGCCCTGACCATTTTTCTATATTTTCCCAACAGTCTGCAAGCTTTTTCACTTTGTGGCTATTTTCTTGAGGTGATTAGAGTGAGAGTATTCCAATAGATGCCAGGAGGGGACATCAGTAGAATGGGTTCCTCATCTGCCAGACATGCTGATGAGCTGAGCAAAGGAAATTTGGTGGCTTTAGTAGCTGGCTCAGAGTTTGGCATGTGAATCTACTTGGAAGAGTGCTCTTGCTGTAAACTGTTTATTTTCTAGTTCATATCCGGTTTTCTGTCAATAGGGGTTTACTAGAATTTTGAAGATTCTTAAAAGTAGTTTGGTTAAACATTTATCTGGGATAATTTAGGTTAGATACATGGCTATCAAAAGCTGGAAGGCTGAGGAGCTGACTGCTTTAATTCTGAGTGTCCTTACTGTGTTTGAAGCAAGCAAATGATACACTCATGAAACTAGTTTATTTATTACTGTTCTCATTACCATCTTTGTCATGTGAGAATAATAGAGTGAAAATACTGGTTGGTTGTTGACTTAAAAGGGCACATGAATTTAATGGGCTGCATTACTGGTGTATATCTAGATTTCTATATTTTGCCCATGTGACTAACTATAGCTGTACAGATTACCTTTTGATTTTCAAACAACCACGAGGTTTTAAAAATATAAAACTCTTATTTTACTATAGAAATTTGAGAGAACTGGTTTAAATAGCAAGAAGGTATAGATTAAGTTTACAAATCTAACTGCATTTTTGCTTTAATATTATTAATAAAATATAGGGTAAGCATGGAGTAAGTCATTATGGACTTTTTAAATTGAAGAAATACTACTTGGCCTTTTAGAAATATTAGATTATTATAGCTTCTGTCCAAACTTTCCCAGCCATCTTTAAAAGTATTGTCCTGGGATTGCTGAGGGAAGATAGGTTCAAAATTGTATGAAAATTCATTATCAGCTGACCAGAGGATCATTCTTAGCTCATGAAACCTTGGAAAATGCAGGTTTACAGGACTGTGTGTCAAGCTAGGGCTAATGTCGGAATCCTGCCAACTGTGCCAGTTGTAAAGCTACATGACTACGCTAGCTATCGAGTAAGGCAAATCATCATTAAAGCCAAAATGTTTCATTATTTTAGTTATACTAAGCTTCCATTTATATTGTCAGAGCTAGGGCTCAGACCCTTCAAACCCATTGTACAGACTGGGTCACCAGACCCCTTACACGGAAGCCCATGCTAAGTAATTGGGAAAGATCCCGGGAGCTGTTGGCAGACCGTAAGAGCTCAGTCCTCAGCAATGGCGGCAGCAGCAGCAGCTTATAGCAACAGCCTCCAGCAGCAGTAGTGTCCTCCCCATAGCCCCCCTGAGAGCATGGCGGGGGGGAGAGGCACTGTGGATCAGAGCCACTCATTCCTTATAACTAAGTCCATAAACCAGGACACCTGGGTGCACAAGTGCAACACATTAGACAACAGCCAAGGAACACCTGGGTGCACGCGCATATTTAAATCAAATGCTTAGCAAGATTCTGAACATCTGAGGGGCCCTGACCGTTTTCCTTCACTTACCCCACACTGTGCATTTTAAATTTTTTTCTTTGATTCAAGATCTACTAGTGCTTTAAGATTATCATTATGAGTGTTAATTCTAATTTTACAAGTCTATAAATAGAGGTGTAGTAGGTGGAAGAGATTGGGGTAAATCTGTATTTTTCTAAGGATATGATCTAGAAATTGATATTTAAAAATCTTTACCTTGTTTTATTGTCATCCACAGCTTTTTCCTCAGATTGTAGGAAAATAAATTTTAGATAAGTGAGAGTTTTATTTAGCTTTGCTTTTACTTTATTTGGAATTAGAGTACTTAAAATTATTTTAAATTCTTTCCTTTGTAAATTAAAGGAAAATTTCATCAATTTAATGTTCAATTTTAACCTTCTTTCTCTTAGGCTTAATAGGAAATGATATCAAATCCCTTCATTCCATCATCAATCCTCCTATAGCCAAGTAAGTACTATCGTTGATATTGTTTTTTTCCATAGGCTTCCAAGAAAAGTTACAAGTTTTCTCTTTTGGGCTTATTAGTGAATGCTGTAATTTCTGTGACTTTCTGCTCTAGCTAATTATAAATAGATGTTGGTATGTATCTTAAAAGCTATTTTTTTTCTCAATTTAGTGCTAAAAATTTTAAATGTAACCACAGCATACTTTTCATAGAAATGAATAGAAGATAGTCTCAAGATTTTAGTTAGCCCTTTTGTTACTTAGCTATTTTGTCAGAGTAATGTGGCAGAATATACTCTTAATATGTTTTCCATTTTTCTAGTTTTTGCACAATTATATAAATTATAGAAATACTGACTAGCTTTGAAATTTGCACAGCATAGACATTTTGGTTTTATAATTTTAGTAATGTCCACCTCATAATGCATGGGTTTTTTGTTTGTTTTAAACAGAATCCGTAATATTGGAATTATGGCTCATATTGATGCAGGCAAAACTACCACCACAGAAAGAATATTGTACTATTCTGGATACACAAGATCACTGGGAGGTTAGAATTGATTCCTCCTCTCCCCATCCCCCATTAGCAAAAGCATCATTGGGAAATATTTTGATTAAGAAGTCAATCTAGACACCTTGAGTGCCACCATCAGTGCCACCATTGGAGGCCCTGATGTCTAAACCACAACAAAGATAAGGTAGCTGCAACATCCACCAAAGGATCTTTTTAGATTTAACTAAACATTCAGACTCATAAGACTATTATGGGCTCCATTCAACACTGGTCTACTCAGAAGGTTGTATGATAGGAGCCATAGCTTACCAACAGACCAGCCTTGGAAGTTTCTTTCTGCTGGAGTCCTTGTAGTCCACAAAGCTATCTGGGCACTATCTTCGTTGGCCACCCAAAAGTGATAGCTTAGGTACAAGGTGATGAGATTCACGGGAGCCACCCAGGCTTAGAAAACTCATGCCCTGTAGAAATGAATATCTCTTATGACAACCCCGTAGGCATAGGTTCTAGGCTCCACATAAGGGATGTGCAGCACTCCACTCAGAGAAGCCAGAAGTTGTGTATCTCTATCAGGTGTTTATAATTTATTTATATTTCTTGCCAATTCAGATTTAGTTTACAAATCAGAAGTTAATTTTTCCGAAGTTTTGAATTTATTTTTCAATTATAACGTGAAAATTGTGGTTCTTGACTAGGCATGCACATTTGTGTCCCCATGAACCTTTTTTTTTTTAAATAATGATGCTCTAGCCCCACTCTGGAAATTAAGATTCTGAAGGTCTAGTATATGATATGCACCCTATTGGGAACCATTTCTCTAGACCATTAGAACTGACTGAGACTTAATAGTGGAAAGGAATACAAGGATTCGAATCTTCATGATAATAGACTCCTAAATGTATGTTCACCTGAATTTCTCATAGAATTATGTTATGTAAATGGTAACATGACATAGAGCAAAATGTGGAACTTGTCAGGAGTCCTCTGTTGTGTCATAAATCTGATAACAATCCTTTCCTAACATCCTCAGTTTGTTTCCCTGAAGTGAGAGTCCAAATAAGGTGGGCCCAGGCACTTTGTCTACTTATTTTTTTTTTAATTGTGGTTGGAAAAAACCACACCATTCTACTTTTTCTTTTTATGATTTTGACTACTGTATAAGTGTATAAGTTAAAAGCACAATATCCTTAAGGTTAATCCATGTTGTAGCATGTGTCAGAATTTCCTTTTTAAGGCTGAATAATATTCTACATGTTTTTGAGTATGTATTCCATGATATACAAGTATAAAATATTCCATGATAAACAAGTTATCTTTTGAAGTCTTTTTCTATTTCAGACCGTAGTCTAGAAACTATCCAAACTGTGGCAGAAGTTGCTATCCGAGGTCGATTTTATTAGTCACATATAAATAATCATAGAGAGCTAATATGAAGTAAAGATCTTTATCATTGTGAAAAATCTTGTTATCATATAAGTGTTTTAAAACACTGCCTCCATTAGCACTTTTAGTTAGTTATTTGGTCTTTGTATCCTTAATGATGTTTGTTTTCTTTGGTAGTTGTGTTGTGAATAACTGGCAACACTAACATAATTCATAGGTTATGTAGATATTTGGAGTTGCTGTCAAATACATTTTTCTGCTCTGGTCTTTGTATCCTTAATGATGTTTGTTTTCTTTGGTAGTTGTGTTGTGAATAACTGGCAATACTAACATAATTCATAGGTTATGTAGATATTTGGAGTTGCTGTCAAATACATTTTTCTGCTATTTTCCCCTCTTTTGGTGTTTAGATTATGTTGTGTGTATACACGTTTCTATATGCACAAACAAATAGGGAAGCTGGCTACTATTTTAGGGGTTTAAAGAACTTTATGGCAGAGTAGTTTGAGTGAACATTTTGGTAGTCACAATAAAGTTTATCCATGACTTTATACTATGAAAGTTTCACTGAGACTTTATTTTCATTTGTGCAAATACATTCCTTTTCTTTGGAAAATTTAGTAATGAGAAGGATTTGTAAAGGATAATTAAACTTTGGAAGAGTTTTTTCTCTACCTTGTTCCATGTAGCTACCATTTATCATCTACTAGGTTGATAAGTGGACTAGGTACTTTATATATATTGTATCATTTCATACCTTTAACAGTCCAGCAAGGATGGCTTTATTGGCCTTATTTTATAAACTATGTTGAGTAACTTGCTCAGGATCACAGAGTAGTAAGTGGTAAAGTTGGGTTTTAAATCTAGGTCTGTCTGTGCTGTTTCATTCCACTACCTACTCTGCCTCCCATCAAAAGATCAGGAGGGAGGAATGCTGATAAAGAGAAGGTAGTAAATGTCAAGCTAGGAAAAACAGGAAAGGAGTATATGGCTCACTAAAATGAAAACATTTTAATCTTAGTTGTTAAAAATTATTTTTATGGAAGAATTACTAATCTTGGCTGCAAAAGCTTTTTCTAGAATGAGGACATACTTAGAGAAGGATTCAGGGCTTTAAGTATTAAGCCAAATATTTTAGAAAAGATTTTTCCTAAAGCAAATTATGTCAGGTAGATATCTAATACCAATAAAATATATCTGCTATTAAGACTAAATGATATCATCTTTTTCCTGGCTAGATGTTGATGATGGAGACACAGTGACAGATTTCATGGCTCAAGAGCGAGAAAGAGGCATCACTATTCAATCAGCTGCTGTTACATTTGATTGGAAGGGGTATAGAGTCAATCTAATTGATACACCAGGTATGGGGCTATTCCAGCAATAGAGAGATGCTGCTTTATTGTATTTTTGTGTATGTGGGTTTTTTTGTTTTTTTATTGTGGTAAAAAACACATAACATAAAACTTACCATTTTAACTATTTTTAAGTGTATAAGTCAGTAGTGTCAAGTATGTTCACATTGCTGTGAAACAAATCTCTAGAACTTTCATCTTGCAGAGCTGAAACTCTTTACCCATTAAACAACAACTTTCCTTTGTTTTCTTCTGTTCACCCTGGTAGTTACCATTCTGCTTTCTAAATCTATGAATTTGACTACTTTAGATACTTCATATTAAGTAGAATCATACAGTATTTGTCCTTTTGTGACTGGCTTATTTCACTTAGCATTAAGTCTTCAAGTTTCATCCATATTGTAACAGGATTTTCTTCCTTTTTAAGTCTGTATAGTATTCCATTGTATGTATATACCACATTTTGTTCATCCATTCATCCATTAATGGACATTTGGGTTGTTTCCACCTTTTGTCTATTGTGAATAGTGCTGCTGTGAACATGGGTGTGTAAATATCTCTTCGAGACCCTGCCTTTAATACTCCTGAATATATACCCAGAAGTGGAATTGCTAGATCATATGATCTGAATAGTGCTGCTGTGAACATGGGTGTGTAAATATCTCTTCGAGACCCTGCCTTTAATACTTCTGAATATATACCCAGAAGTGGAATTGCTAGATCATATGATCGTTTTTGTTTTTCAAAAGGTTTTAAGTGTTATATTTCTCATCTTTTTCTTAGGTCATGTGGACTTCACCTTGGAGGTTGAGCGCTGCCTGAGGGTGTTGGATGGTGCAGTGGCTGTATTTGATGCCTCTGCTGGTGTAGAGGTAAAAACTATTGCCAGAGTTAAGCGAAGATAGGACAGCATGCTTCTTAAAAAAGTAAAATGTATCAAATTTAGTTAACTATGTAACCTTTTATTGGGTAAGTTCATATAAATCAAATTATGATCAAGGGAAGTTAGAATTGAATTTTGAGGTGGGATCTATATGTGATCTCAGATATTTCGTAGTAAAAGGAAAATAAAGTTTGCTTTTCTATAGGAAATATTAAAGTTATTGTCACGATCTGTGAAGGACCTGCAATTCTACCTTACTTGGAAGCTAAAAAGTTAACCTGCCATAGCTTCATGGATTCTGGCAGAAGACATAAGACTCCTGTGTCAGAGAAATAGTCACAGAAATAGCAATAGCCAGAGTATCAGCATTTTCCTGTACTGGTTTACCAAATCCCAGTTTCCACAGGGTGACATGAAGGGAGCACATGCTGTGGGTTGAGAAGAATCCTGTATTTAGAGAATGGAAACATTTTGTAATAGGCAGTAAGCATGCCTTCCCTTTGCTCTGGAGGGAAACACTGTCTTCCAGCATTGTAAGCAAACCTGCCTTTTGCCCCACAGGGAGATGTTGTCTCTATCGTTCATCCTTGAGACAAAGGGCAGTCAGTGCGTCTCCTAATAAAACATGCAGAAATGTGAGAGACCTATGGAGAATTATCTCCCAGCAATTAATATAAAGGATCTTGAATAAATTTAAAAATGGATTTATAATAATTTATTGCTAGAGGGATTAGTCATGCCCTCTTTATAGCTGGTACTGCCTTCATCATATAATCTCAAGATTAGCTTTATGTTGAATATAGAATCCTACTAGTTCTTTTGACCTTAAAATTACTAAAAGTGATATTATCTTAATTAAGTGATCAAAATTAACATCTTTTAAAATAGGAAAAATTGACCCAGTGGGCTTCTTGATAGGATGCACCAAGAGGGACACATTTACCTGTGTTGTATTCCTGACAAAAATGTTTGGCTCAAATCTATACATAAGAAAACAACCAGAGAAATTTAAATGGAGAGAAACTCTGCAAAAAAACTGGCCAGAAATTTTCAGAATTTGAACATTTATTTATTTATTTACTTATTTATTTTGTGACTGGCCAGTTCAGGGATCGAGGAACATTTTTTTAAATGTAAGCATCATGAATGAGAGAGAAAAAAGCTGGAAAACTGTTCTAGATTAAAGGGTTGTAAAGAGACTAGAAAACTAAATGTAACACATGATCCTTGGTTGGATCCTGGATCAATGTAAGCATCATGAATGAGAGAGAAAAAAGCTGGAAAACTGTTCTAGATTAAAGGGTTGTGAAGAGACTAGAAAACTAAATGTAACACATGATCCTTGGTTGGATCCTGGATCCCCCCCCAAAAAAGTTAAAAGGACATTGGGAAAATCAGGGAAATTTAAATATGGACTATATGTATTAGATAAAAGTATTGTGTCAACTTAAAATTTTCTGAATGTGATCATTATAGTCCATTTTTTAGGAGAAAGTCCTTATTCTTAAGAAATACACGTTGAACTATTTAGGGTGGAAGTGTCATAGTCTCGGCAACTTGCTGTCATTGTTTATACCCCATCTACTTACACACCTGGTGTTATACAGCTATAAGAGAGGACATAAGAAGCATAAACATAAAAGAATAGAAGTTGATTCATTGAACATATCAAAATGACATCTGCTCATTAAAACTAAAAGAAATGAAAAGGCCACAGACTATGAGAAAATATTTGTAATGTTAGATAAAAGTACTTGTATGAATATTAAATTTCCTGAATGCAGTGATAGTATAGGTTATATAGGAGAATGTCATTGTTCTTGTGAAATACATGCTAAAATTTTTAGAGTACATATGTGTGACTAAGGACTTGTATCTAGAATTTATGAAGAACTACAAATCAGTAATAAAAACAAACAACCCAGTAAAAAAATGGACAATAGACTTGAATGGACACTTCACAAAAGAAGATATGAATGGCCTGTGAGCACATGAAAAGATGCACAAATCTCATTAGTTGTCAGGAAAATGCAAATTGAAAATCAGGAAGCGATACCATTCCACACTCACAAGAATGACTAAAATTAAAAAGAGTGAAAGCATGTGTCAGTGTGGTACAACTGGAGCTCTTATACTCTGTTAGAAGGACTGTAAAATAACATGATGACTTTGGAAGACTATTTGGCAGTTTCTATAAAGTTAAATATACAACTTCCTTAAAACCCAGCAATTCTACTTCTATATCTTTATCCAAGGTAATGAAAACATTTGTCCACCAAAGACTTGTTCAGAATGTTTGTAGCAGCTAAACTCATAATAGCCCCAACCTAGAAACAACCCAAGCGCACATCAACAGGTGAATAGATAAACAAACTGGTATGTTTATAGAAAGGAATATGGCAATAAAAAAGTATGAACCAGTGTACCCCAAAACATGGGTGAATGCCAAAAACATTATGTTGAGCCAAAGAAACCACGCTGTTTATATGAGGTTCAGGAATAGGCAGAATGAATCCATGGTGATAGAAATCAAAGCAGGTTTCTTATAGGGGCAGGGGTATGAGAAAAGTTTCTGGAGTGATAAAGTGTTCTATATTTTGATTGGGTTAGAAGTTACACAAGTGTATACTTTTATCAAAACTCACTTAGCTGTACACTTAAGATCTGTGTATTTTTTTTTTTTTTTTTTTGTCCTTTTTGAGACCGGCCGCACCGCGCTCAGCCAATGAGCGCTGTGAGTGCACCGGCCATCCCTATATAGGATCCGAACCCGCGGCGAGAGCGCTACTGCACTCCCAGCGCCGCACTCTCCCGAGTGTGCCACGGGCTCGGCCCCTGTGTATTTTATTATATATAAATCTTTAAAAAAAACTGTCTTCTGCTGTAACTAGTGTCAGTACATTACGCTTTTTATGCTTTGCTTGAGGGCTGTTGGACTCCACTAATAGATTCATATATATATATATATTTAGACTCATGTACATACTTAATATGTAATTTAATAGACTCATATATATATATATATATTTAGACTCATGTATATATTTAATATGTGCAAAAATGAAATTAAAAGAAGTCAAATAGAAGAAAAGCATATGAGACCTGCAACTTATAAATTTTATAAATTTCCCCCCCTTAAGTCCTCTTTAGTTTACACAACATTCAAATAATCACAATAAAATGTGATTTTTATCATAGTAACATTTTTATAGTGCACTCCTATTTGTTCTTTTTACTTCACAACAGCTGTCTGAATTAATTGAGGCAAAAGTCCCTATTTTATAGATCAGAAAACTGACATTAAATGAGTTCAATATCATGTGACATGTAATAGGAAAGGTGAAAACAAACAAAAATTAGATCTTCTTATTCTCAGTTAAGTCCTCTTTCCATGATTCTCAGTACCTCCCAGATTTTGATTGTCTTCGTGTGGCAACCTAGTTTACCCAAAGTATTATTCTCAATCTGAAGCATGTTCTGTATCACACTTTATCACATTTCCAGCTGTGTTAACCTGATAGCAAAAGGGTGACCCTAGAAGTATAAGTACAGTGGCACTGATTCTATGGTTAGTGCCCAATTTTGTGGGCCCAATTTTGTGTTACGGTAGATTCTTGTAATTTTTTATTCCATGTCTACTAACATAGTTATTTTTCCTCATTTTGCTTTAGGCCCAAACTCTGACAGTATGGAGACAAGCTGATAAACACAAGATACCTCGAATCTGCTTTTTAAACAAGATGGACAAAACTGGAGCAAGGTATTTAAAAGGTGTTTCTTTGGCTTATCAAAGTGAGAATACAATTTGAGCTTTTAATGGACTATAACTTAAATATAGAAATGGCTATTCTTTCCTGTAGGGTATAAATATTCTATGGGATCCCAATTCATTCCCATTTAAAAAAATTTCAAAGCAACTAATCTATAAGTTAAGTAACAATTTGGGATTAATAGAGATCATCCTGTTTCTAACACAGAGAGGATGAGTTATATCTTCTAGGATCCTGAGAAAGTGGTGTCTTGCTGATTCCATTGGTTCTCTTTAGAACTATTTAGTATAGTTCCTGTATTGCTGAAGATTACAGTGCTCCCCATCACTGTTAAAGGTAGACAGGAGAGAGTTATTTCCTGCAGTTGCCTTAGAGAAAGGTGTTCTTCCTTGTTCCTTGATTTTCCTTAGCTACTGGGTAATAGGCTCTCAATAAAAGGGAATGAGAGAGGAGAATGTCAGTGCTATAAGACCTTCGTACAGGGTAGAAGAGAGTTAGTGGTGAGATGTAGTGGTCATGCTCAGAGACTTACAGAGTGGTAACTCAAAATGGATACATGTTCTGAGAACATAATTCAGAGAATCAACAATATATGAAGGATTTAGAAAATGTGAAAGAGAGAGAATAAAGAATATGAAAAAGATTCTGGAGGAAGTGTGATAGGAGAGAGGTCCTGGTCTGGTGGGAGAGTGGCAAAAACAAAACATGAACTGTTTCTCCCTTAAAACTACACAGTAGTATGTTTTGTGTATATATAACTCTAGTAATTCTAAGGCTGTTTGTTTAAAGGACTTTTGTCTTATTTAGTAATAGCACAACAGCCTTTAAAATTTGCTGGGCTCAAGTTCTGACTTTTTTCTGTTTGGAGTTCCTTATGGTAGATGGAAGTACTCATTTTCTGATGGACAGTGTCTGTGGAGATGACTGGATACTAGGCTGGTTCTCAGAGACATTGGAACCAGAATGATCTGCATGTGTTTATAAATCAGCCCATGTGCATGTGTGCCATAGGTAGCCAACCCCAGCGTTAGCATAGAAATTAGTAGCATAGCATATGATATTTAGAATGCCTAAGATAAAAGCATAGAAAAATTAATGAGTCAGGCTGGCTTTTGGAAGAAAGCTAGTGGCCTTGTGTGGTAGCAAATCTAGTTGGAGAAGACTAGCCTTGTAATCACAAATCTTGTATTGGAATCCTAAATGCAATTTATTGCCTATGTGACCTTGATCAATTTATTTAACCTTAACCTCAAAGTTTAGTTGTGTGAAACTCATAATTATAATATCCTAAACACCTCTGTGGTGGAATTAGGATAAACATTTAATCACTGTTATCAGAAATTAACATTACAAGTTTATTCAAAATATTGTCCTGTGAGACACTGTTAAATGGTGAGCATTAAGGAGAATAAAAAGGGTGAAATTTTAGAGAACATTCTTAAACCCGTTATAAGAATTCTTAACTGTATTTTTAACTCTAATTATTTTGCTTTCTACAGTTTTAACTATGCAGTTAAAAGCATCAGAGAGAAGTTGAAGGCAAAGACTTTGCTTTTACAGGTAAATTGGTTAACTGATAGCATCAGCTTCTCAGTTTCTTCATTAATTTATTTTATTGTGACATATTGTGTACATTTCTGAAGCTATGTCAAATCCTTTTTGGAAGAAGTCAGGGTATAAATAAAATAGCTATAGATAATGTTAATAATGATAAAAGACTTTTTTGGGGAAAGTGGTACAATTAGATAAGCTTTATCACCAATGCAGTTCCGAGTGAGTGATCGTTTAATAATGTTAATCTCATTCTGACTTATAGTTACCAATTGGTGAAGCTAAAACTTTCAAAGGAGTGGTGGATGTAGTAAATAAAGAAAAGCTTCTTTGGAATCACAATTCAAACGATGGAAAAGACTTTGAGAGAAAACCCCTCTTGGAAATAAGTGATCCTGAATTGCTGAAGGAGACAACTGAAGCAAGAAATGCCTTAATTGAACAAGTAAAATTTTAAGCTTAAAATTGTATAAGTATTTAGAAACTTCAAAAAAAAATCTTATTTATTGTGAAATTTTATATAAAATTACATATGGAATATGTGAGGTATAATGAATAATAAAATGAACACCAATGTGTGCACCACTCAGCTTAAGAAATAGAATATTAGCAGTGCCCTTGAATCTCTGCATGCTGCTTGCTGTTCATATCTCTCCCTTCTACTAATCATCTACCCATCCCCATAACCAATTATTTTACTGTTTATGTTTCACTTACTTTTTTTTATAGCTTACCACAAATCTATATATCCCTAAAGAATATAGTTTTGCGTGTTTTGAACTTTACATAAGTGGAACAATACGGGTTGTATTTTATTACATTGTTGAACATCATGTTGGAGATTCGTCCATGTTGCTATGTGTAGTTGTAGTTTATTTATTTTCAATCTTGTATAGTGTTCTAATATATGATTATAATACCACAATTTTTTGTCTATTCTCCTGTGGAGGGACTTTGAGGATTTTTTCTCTTTTTTCGCTCACCCATCACAAATACTGCTTTCCAGGAGGATTGTTAGGTACATTTCTGCTATAGTTAACTGTGTTAGAGTATGTTTTTCTCAACAAGTTTAAATGTTTTGCTCCCTACAAACTTTTGAAACTGTTTTATCAATTTGTTGTCAGGTGAATTATTTCACATAGGCAGATGGTTATGAAAAGAATATGAACTAGATTATTGCATATTTATTATTGAAATGATGCCTCTGTCCCCCCAACTTAAATGTATTCTTTCAGTGCATGATTGCAGTAAAATTAGTTCTTTTAGTTTGACTGTCTTGGGAGATCTGGTGACCACTCAATGTTAGATAACAGATGAAACTTTATTATGAACTAAAACCCCCAAATTTATCTAAAAAAGCAGTAGTCCATTGTATGTATTATCGTTGGCTATAAATTCTGTGTTTTCTTTTATTTCTCTTGAGCACTGAGTGGATAGCTCTTCATTGAGAAGCCGTATCAGCCTGTGGCTCTCTGTGAATTTAGGAAACTCATAATAGCGTATCTTCAATTTGCAATTCCTTTTCCTTTGAAAGAAAAACTTTTCTTTATATCTTTAGAAGATACAAAGACGTACTTGGCCTGGATAATGCTTATTTATGGTATTTAGACAAGGTAATAGTTGTGAAAATAAATTACAAGTTGTAGAACTAAAGCCTTTCTTTGTAGGTCGCAGATTTGGATGATGAATTTGCTGACTTGGTTTTAGGAGAATTTAGTGAAAATTTTGATTTACTACCAGCTGAAAAGGTAACTTTCATTATTCAATTGCTTTGACAAAGTTTTACTAGTTGGATGTAGTTTGATTTCTCTGTCTTAGGTATGTGTTTGTTTTTTTAACTTTGCGTCCTATTAGAAAACACCAAATTAAAAATTAGGAGAATGTTTAGGTAAATTACTACTATTACAGATGCAAACCACTATTTTCAGTATACTTTACAAAATTAGAAATCGAATCTTTCTTGGGCCGAGCCCGTGGCGCACTCGGGAGAGTGCGGTGCTGGGAGCGCAGTAGCGCTCCCGCCGTGGGTTCGGATCCTATATAGGGATGGCCGGTACGCTCACAGGGCTCAGACAGTGCGGCCGGTCTCAAAAAAAAAAAAAAGGACAAAAAAAAAAAAAACCAAACAGAAATCGAATCTTTCTTTATTGAGTCAGAATTATTTAATTACTCATTCTCTGTGGGTTTTTCTCTTCATTCTGATCATTTTTCTAAGGATTCTTAGGGAAACAACAGGTAGAAAGTTTGTATTTAAAACTTACCAGTTTTTCAGGCTAATACAATGATCATTTTCTTCAGAACATGTTTTCTTTATCTGTTTTAATTTTTAATGGAAACTCATAGTTGTTTTTTTTTTTTTTCTTTTGACATAGTTAAATAAATCAGAGAATAGGCAAGTGAGATACAGGTAGTAATTAAATTATGACAGATTTCTTCAAGGAGTATCTCTGCTTTGTTCTGCCACGGACTTTCCCTCCTGAATTTGGCAAATTTACTGTTTATTTTCCTTTATAAAACATAAGAGTTGCCAAGCAAAGTGTTTCTAAATGGTAATCTGTAAAGTGGGGCCAAAGATTAGCCCAGCAAATTCATGTAGTTATTATTCATGAAAAAGAATTAAAAACACAAGAGCTAAGGATATTTTTGAGCCACTTGAAGATAGAAGTAAGAAAAAAAGTGATTTCTTTTGAATGAAATTCCATCATTTTTGAGATTTTTTTGTTTAGTATTTGAATTTAAATGTGATGTTTATTATGCCCTATTGTTACATAACATGATTTGTGTTTTCAAACAGTTCACAATCTAAAGTGGAATTCACCCACCAATTCTCTTGTTAATAGCTTACACCCAAGCTTTTCTTGGTTTTTGAGGTTATTTTGTTGGGGTTTTTTGGTGGCTGTCCAGTATGGGATCCAAACCCATGAACTTGATGTTGTAAGGCTCTACTGTTACTAGCTGAGTTAACTGGCCAGCCTTTTGTTTTAAAAATATTTTCTGCTTTGAATTTTCATTCTCCTTTGAATTTTGTTTAATGTGAATCTAATTCATTTGAAGAAATTATAACTCAGATTTCTATATATTTCTGATCAGTTCTACTAGACCATTAAGGTTAAATCATAAGTATATTACCTCATTTATGTAGAAATATTTTTGAGCACTTATAGTTTTTTTTAGCATTTTTCTAGTTTCTGGGTATTTAGCAGTATTTTCATGGGACTTAAACTGTAATGCTTATATGGATTTTACATTCTAGTGAATGGGAGATAGATAATAAACAAATACACATATAACATGCTAGGTCGTTATTAGTGTTATAAAGAAAAATAAAGAATAAAGCCATGAAGAATGATGGAGATGGGGCAAGGAGTGTTGTTCTACCTGGAAGGGTGGGGAAGGCCTCAAATTCTATCTGGCAGGGACCATTGTACTACACACAAAATAAATGCTCATTTATAACTCTGCTTTGTAGCTACAGACTGCAATACACAGAGTAACACTGGCTCAGACAGCAGTACCGGTGCTTTGTGGAAGTGCCCTGAAAAACAAAGGTGTACAGCCCTTGTTAGATGCTGTTACCATGTACTTGCCTTCACCTGAAGAGCGCGACTATGAATTTCTGTAAGTATGCAATCACATAGAATAAAATCCTGTATCCTTGAAAAAGCAAGTAGGCAAATAGGCCTTGTTTCATGAAAAATTGTTAAATCACCATTTTTGAATAACAATGGGGAAGAATATTATTGTAAATGATATAATATAGAGCCATAGTAATTATTACTTGAAAGGAACATTTTACACCTTTTGTAATAGGTATATTTGTATTCATCTAGATTTCAGGACTGTTCATAAGCTCAAAATATTTTGTGGCTATAAAGAAAGGTCATCGTATTATTCCTGTTGTCACTAACAGCTTTGTACTTAAGTAATAAGTCCTCTAAAATCTGAGTGAGCATTGTTGAAATGACAGAGAAGTGGACTTTAATTCTGTTAAATAGGACATTAATAACTTTTTATTTCTCTAAATTGGAGAGGTATCATGGTGAAGTGATTATGAGCCTGGACTTTGTACTATTGGATTTAAATTTCAGCTTTTCTAAGTTGCTTAATATCTCATCTATAAGAGGTGAAGAATAGGACCTATCTCAGAGTTTTTATAAGAATTGAGTTAATATTTATAAAGCACAAGGAACCGTGCTTGGTATGGAGTAAGTTCTCTATATTAGTATTTGTTAAAGTTAAAAATTGGAGGGAATAGAAATAAGAATTGGATAAGTTCTATCATACAGGTGTGTAACCTACTTTGACTTTTAACTATGGACTCCTTTGAAACTAATGAAAATTCAGAGCCTCTCCTCGGAAAGATGGACCTATGCACAAAATTTGGCAATTTCAGGAAAATTCAAACTTTCTAAAACCTATTACTGCCAACACCAATTTAAGAATGTCCTTCTGTAAAAATGTTGGCTGTGTAAACAAGTTTAAGTTCATAATGTGGATTTTTATGGTTATGCAACTGAACAGAAAGTAGGAGGAGAGAGGAAAAACAGTAATTGGAAAGTCCCTATTTGTTTACCCTGTGCAGGTTTCCTGAAAAGGGGTTTGATGTTCCTACGTATATTTTTTGAGGAGAGAACTCTTGGCAGTTAAAATATTTGCAAATAGAGGTAACATTTGGAAAAGAATTCATTATTTTTAGTTTTGAGGAATTAACGGTAAGATCTCCATTAAATAATTTAGTCACTGGAGGAAGAGAGTTACATAGTGATGTTATTTAATGGGCCTGGGTAGCTTTACTGGAAGATGTGAGGAATCTTTGGAGGACATTAAAGTTAAGTTTCTGCAGTGATTCTGATCTGATCTGTATAGATATATGGAAATTGGATTTTATAGGCCTTTCTGGAATGTCCCCTTTATTTTATAGGCAGTGGTATAAGGGTGACTTATGTGCACTGGCATTTAAAGTTCTTCATGATAAGCAACGAGGACCGCTGGTTTTTATGCGCATTTACTCAGGCATGATAAAACCTCAGTTGGCCATCCATAATATTAATGGAAACTGCACGTAAGTAGAAGCTTAGGTTATTTTCTAAAACTGCACTCATTTCTTTAAGAATACTTTTACTAATACAAGTCATGGTTTTTCAGGGAGAGAATAAGTCGTCTGCTTTTGCCATTTGCTGACCAGCATATAGAAATCCCCTCACTGACTGCTGGTAACATTGCTCTGACCGTTGGGCTTAAGCATGTAAGTGACCAAATGATTTCTCTGGGAAATAACAGTTTAAATGTTTAATTACGACCAGCATATAGAAATCCCCTCACTGACTGCTGGTAACATTGCTCTGACCGTTGGGCTTAAACATGTAAGTGACCAAATGATTTCTCTGGGAAATAACAGTTTAAATGTTTAATTAAAGTAGTATTTTATAATAGCAAAAACCCATAAACAAGCCAAATGTCCATCAATAGTGGAATAATAAATATTGTGGCATATTCTTCAATATGGTTGAATCTATTACATTTAATAAAAAAAAAAGTAAATTACAGAAGGCCACAAACAGGATGGATTATATTCATTTAAAGATCAAATCCAAGTAAAATAATATACTACTTATGGGTACATATATGTTTTAAGTTTATATGAAATATTGTTTATTCCTATTAGTTTTTTTGCTGTCTTGACCATTGCAGAAAATTTCATCTAGCCTTATAACTGATCAAGTAATAACTGAAGATATTTTGCCGTTGAAGGCTCTATGAGGGCAAGGATTTTTGTGTCTTTTGTTCACTGCTCTGTCCTTAGTTCCCAGATCAGTGCTTCCACATAGTAGGCACTCCATAGACATTTGTAGGGTGAATTGATGCTGTATCTATTTTTTGGTGGGTTAAAACTAAGGACATTTCATTTGTAAGGATTAAGTCAAATACAGTTTTCTCATTAAATTTTGGTATATTTGACATTTAGGATAAACATTGTTACTTTTCTTTTTTTGGCAGCTAGCTGGTATGTGGATCTGAGCCCTTGACCTTGGTGTTATAACACCACGCTCTAACCAACTGAACTATCCGGCCAGCCCCATTGTTACTTTTAACATTTTAAACTATTCATGGCAAGTTTCAAGATTCTTTAGTAGAAAATTCCCATAGTCTGGATATTTGACTTCTGGCATTGAAGTGTCCCCCTCTGTCTACCTGAAGGCCAGAGCTCCTTGTACGTATTTCTAGAGCTGGAGTTCTACAAATATGTTTGGACTATTGCCTCAGTAGGATTGTCTTTACAAAGAAAGAAACTGGCACAGAACTTCTTTTAAAAGTAAAATTATAGTTTTAAGAAATAACTGGGCTCTACGTGGAAGCTATCAATTCTGCACAGTCAGGGGTATTGTGGTTAATTGTATATTTTAGTTAATAGAGGATTTTCTGTAAAACAATAAATTCTTACTGGTGGTAGAATACGATAATGGACTTCTACTTAACCTGTCTTGTCATGATTGCAAATTTAGGAAGGTACATTTGCTTTGCCAAATGTATTTTGGATTGCATTATTTATATGTGCGTGTGTTTTATTATTTGTTAGAATTCATTACAACAGTACTTTGGATAGAAATGTTATACAAGTTAAATTAGCTTTACTTAATACAAAGTTACAATGAGCTTTATTAATTTGCTTATTTTTTAAGTTCTGATGAAAAGAAAGTGCCACATTAAACTTTTTCTTATCTCTTGGTTCTTAGTGGAAGATGAGTGTTTGCCAACACCTGTTTGGTTCCATGTCATCTTGTTTGCTTGCAGACTGCCACTGGGGACACAATTGTCTCATCCAAGTCCAGTGCATTAGCTGCAGCTCGTCGAGCTGAAAGGGTGGGAGAAAAGAAGCATAAACAAAACAGTGAAGCAGAGAGACTTTTATTGGCTGGGGTGGAGATTCCAGAACCTGTTTTCTTCTGTACCATAGAACCGCCATCAGTGGCTAAACAGCCAGGTACAAATAGTCTTGGTATATCAATTAATTCATACTCTGATAATTTATATAAATAGTTGCATTAGACCCTCAAAAGATTTCTTATGTGATTGAGTTAAATTTTATCTAAATTTCTTTATTGGTAAGCACTTCTTGTGGTTGGTCTAGTTTTTCCTTTAAGATGTTTTTTTTTTTCCTTTTTGTCTTTTTTACTGACCGGTAACAGGATCGCAACCCTCGGTGTCGCGCCTGTACCGGGGACCGGCAACGGGATCGCAACCCTCGGTGCTGCGCCCGCACCGCGCTCAGCCAGTGAGCAGGAACCGGTCTCCACATGGGATCCGAACCCTCGGCGGGAGCGCCGACACACTCCCAAGCGGCGCACTCTCTAGAGCGCCACCGGGCCGGCCCTTTAAGATGTTTTGATTTTTACAAACTCCTTAATTTTTTTTCTTATATTTTTTGGCCATTTTTCTCACATTCTTGTTCTTTTGTCTTGTTTTTTTGGTACATTCTAATTGACCTTAGAACTGTCCTTCTAGGATATTAGATTAGACAGTAACTGATTTATGAACAATTCAGTTCTTATTGTCATGTTTAAAAATACTATTTTACCTTGTTTTCTAGCTCAACCTCTAGAACTCAGTGAAGATATTTATATGCTATGGCTAATGGGGTTTTGCCTTTCAAAACTTATATACTTTGTTCTTCAGTACATTAGCTCAAGATTCTTCAGTGTCTTCTCATTACTTATAGCACAAACCTAAACTCCTTAGTATGGTATGTAAAGCCCATGATTCCAGCTGTATTATTTCAGGCAATCAACATTAGGGCTAATAAAAAGCTTGAATAGTATAAAAGGGCTGGAGGAGGTATTGTAGAACCTTTCTAGCACTTATGAGAGGTAAATTAACACCAATTGCTAAACATAGAAACTGGATAAATTTCAATATTCATTTAGAAATTAATTTTATGATGCTGTCCTAAGTATTAAAATACAGGTTATACTTAAATCATTCAAAGTTTGGCATGTTCACACATGTGCACAAAGTATTTGATAGATATTTACACACTGGGAGACACAATTATGGTCTGACTTTGGAGTTTTGGCAGATCTGGGTTCAAATTCTGGCAAGTTTCCCTACTAGCTTTTTTTGGGTGCGTGTGATCCGAACCCTCGGGCGGGAGCGCCGCTGCGCTTCCCAAGCGGCGCACTATCCAGTGCGCCACCGGGCCGGCCCCCAAACAACAGTTTTAATAGGAGAAAAGTTTATTTCTCTCTATTGTAAAAGAAGTCTTGAATTGGTAGCTCAGAGGTTAAATAGTGGCTCCACAGTGTGAGCAGGCACCCAGGCTCCAATATATCTGCCCTCCTATCTGAGTGAACAGCTCGTACAGTCGCTGCTGGAGCCTTGGGCATCACTGTGGAGTTCCTGCCAGCAGAAAGGGGTAAGAGGAAGAAGATGGGCCCCCTTCCCTCTTAAGATTTCTTAGTTGCCGACACTGAGACATGTGACCATCCAGTTGCAAGAGAGTCTGGTAAAAGTCTTTTGAGTTGCCAGCAGCAGAATAGAATGGAAGGCTACTAGCAGTCTCTGCCACTAGTGTTCTTGCCTGGCCTCATTTCTTGAAACTTCCTCCTTCCTTTTGAACTCTCTTCCACCCAAATAAAAATAAGAATAGAGTAACTACCCACACCTTACACTTCCATAGTAAGGTAGTTCTGATTTCCTGAAGATGCCATGCTCTTTTTGCATTATTTCTTTTCATCTGTTCTCTCTTGCATTATAATGGTATCCTCTGAACTTTCTGCCTGGAAAATGTTTGCTCTTTCTTTAGGTCTCAGCTGAAGTGTCACCTCTTTATAAGTCTCTCTGAATTCCTATATTATACTGTTTAAGTACAAACCTAGTTCTGGAGGTGGCATTAGAAACCTTTTTTTTTTCCCTTGAAAATAAGTTGTACTCACAGATTATGGAAAAACAAAAGCAACCTTTGTTGCCTCCCCATGTCTTCCTGAGGCAGTGAGAAAGAGGAAGATCCCTAGCTAAGTAGGGGTTCAAGTTCCTCACCCCCCCCAAGTAGAGTTGACATGAAAGAAATCTGAGTGCAGATGTAAGACAGCCCCAAATACTGAAGGAAACTGGCTCTTTCCTTGTCTAGTTGGTGAAGGAATAGTATTTAAGTTTAAATGGATGTAGCAGCAATTTTCCTATTACCTTAAAATGCCCTGAGGCCAGTGTTGACTCTAATGGAGAAGGATGTGGTGATGATGTGACTGCTTCCCAGTTACATCAAAGTTGACCAGGCTTAGTTGTATGACTTAAGGGCAGGGACTGCCCTAATGAAGTAACCTATGAGTTCTTTTAAATATATTTCAAAGTCATTTCATATTTCAAATGTAGTGTGAGCACCTAAATTCAAACTGTGGGATTGCAGATAAGTTGCACCAGCCAATTTTACATGTAAGAACTCATACCTACTTTAGCAGGTAAAGTTTGGTGTCCAAAGAAAGTCTCGTTAATGGGCATTAGCTTAGAGGTCCTAGGCCTCCATGAGGAAGGGACTTCCCAGAACTCCCTTACTTAGACTTCTTTCGATCAGATCTACACATTCTTTTTTTCTATGCTTCTGCTGTATTTACCTCACAGTCCTTTAAGAGTTTTAGCTCTTGACACTTTGTTATAATGCTGCGCATGTTTTCACCCCAGTAAACCACTTAAAGGATAGAGTCTTTATAAATATATTTGAATGAATCATTTATTTTATAGTGAAATTTAAAACTATCTTTGATTCCAAAAACCATATAATGTCATGTGCATCATTACTCTGAGTATATATATGTGCTTAAACATAAAATATCTAAAATAATGCCTCTTAACCTTGAAGGCGCATACACATCTCTTAGGATTCTTGTTAAAATGTAGACTGACTCAGTAGGTCTAAATATAAGATTCTGCATTTCTATCAGACTCCAGGTGATGCTAGTGTTGCTGGTCCTTTGACTCCACTGTGGAGTATCAAAGGTCCTGAACAGCATTGTCCAGTAGAAGTATAATGTGATCCACATATGTAATTTAAAATTTTCTTGCAACCATATTAAAAAACATTAAAGGAAACTGCTGAAATTAATTTAAACAATATATTTCACTTAACCCATTTTATCAAAATATTATTTAAACATGGAGTCAATATTAAAAAGTGTTAATAAGGTGTTTTTCATATTTTTTTCATATAAAGTATTTGAAACCTGGTGTGTATCTACATTTACAGTGCCTGTCAATTCAGACTAGTAATACCTGCAAATGGCTAATGGTTACCATTTGGACATGGCAGGTCTAGAAGGCCTGGTTTATATACCTAAGAACACTTTAAATGTGTGACTGATAAGGTTAGCTCTAAGTGCCTGTCAATTCAGACTAGTAATACCTGCAAATGGCTAATGGTTACCATTTGGACATGGGAGGTCTAGAAGGCCTGGTTTATATACCTAAGAACACTTTGAATGTGTGACTGATAAGGTTAGCTCTGTATGCATTGTTCAACTCTTTTCTTCAGCTGTATTTTCTTTACGTCTGTGGAACTTCCAACATTTTTCTTTTTATATATAGAGAGAGTATACTTATCAGTGAATTGATTGTATTAAAGTACCACTTAACTTTATATGGTGTATTTAATACAAATAATACATTCTTTTTTCCTTTATGGTTGTAATAATTCATCATAGAGTGATCATACTAGTATCTCTTTATTCACTATGTAATTTTAGCCTCCTTTTACCAGTTTCTCATCATTGCCTGTGTTTCTGAAGGCATTTTGCTTTTTTGTCAGCTCCCAGATTATCTTTGCAAAATCTGAACAGATGATGTTATTGCTCCTCTTAAAACCCTTCAGTGGCTTCGCAGTGCAAACCCAAACTTCTCAGCATGGCCTACGAGGCCTTGCGTGATGTGATCCCAGCGACACCCCCCCTCCCCCCATCTTATGTTACTCTTCCTTTTGCCCACCAGTCTCCAGCTACTGCCTTCTGGCTGTTTTTCCCCACAGCAAATTGTTCTTTAAACAGTCATACCCTCTGTCCAGAATTCATTTTCTTCAGGATTTTGCAATAGTTTTCTTCTCTTGTTTGTGTCTTTACATGAATCACCCTGGAGAGGCCTTCCCAGATCATCCAATATCAAGTAGCCTCCCTGTTAAGTCACCTTGCTGTATTCTCTACAATGTGCTTGTGGCAGTTTGAAATTTTTTTTTTCAAAGTTTGTTTGCTTGTTCATCTATTTACCCAATTAGAACATAATAAGTTATCTAAACAATGAAATGGTTAAAGATAACAGTTGTTTATCCTATAGATTTGGATCATGCATTGAAATGCCTTCAGCGTGAAGATCCCAGTTTGAAAGTGAAGCTAGATCCTGACTCTGGACAAGTAGGCATATTGTTACTTAACTGCAGAAGCCTTTCCATAATAGCTTGTGCTTGTGTGTATGTGCCTACATCTAAAACATTGATTGTTTATGCCCCTGAAAGAAGCAGCTTTCTTTTTGATTCTCTCATAATGTAAATTTCTGATTATTTATGTGGACTGTCAAGCTAAATAAACAATTTTCCTTAATTACCTAATATAATTACACTACACATAAATAAACTACTCCCCAACATTTTTGACCTTCCAGAGGATAGCCTTTTGTGAAATTTTGAAGTTCAACCCCAAGACAAAGCCTTGAGCTTCTTATGCTAAGGCTTATAGAAGAAGCATACTAGAAGGAAGTCTAAAAAGGTGCATTTAATGACAATGACACACCTAAAATGGGTAGAAGTGACAGATTACAGTCTAACAGTGTTGTAGGAAGTAGAGTTCTAAAGTAGGTACAGAACTGTGCTGTATAATTTAGCACAGTAGAACAGGTGCTCTTGATTCATCAAGAAAACACTAAGTTACATTCTGCATCCTCTTTTTAGGAGGACACGGTAACATTTATATAAGATCTTAGAAAGAATTTTTTTAAGAGTATAAATTTGTCTTTAAAAAGGATAACTGATTTAGTTAATCTGGAAAATAAGGGATACTTTATTTTCCCAAAATTCCAGCTAGATGAAGTAGTAATTTAGTTTAATTGGTCTTGAAGGCTACAGTAACAGTATTAAAACAAACTTTTTATTTTAAAAACTTTTATTTAAAAAATGGTGGTACATCTTTTTAATAGCAAATAATATACAAGTGTACAAAGTAAAGAATTAAAGTCCCCCTTTCTGTCCCCCCATGTCATTCTACACAGGTAACCGCTGTGCAAACTTGGTGAATAGCCTTCCACACTTTTTTCCCAAACATTTGTTCTACTGTGCTATGTTATACAAAACAGTATTTTTTTCCCAAATATTTATGTACAGATATATATATTAACAAGTCATTCTATTTGTATTACTCTACAAATTGCCTTTTTTCCAAATAATTCACTTTTTTTTTTTTTTTTGGCAGCTGGCCTGTACAGGTATCCGAACCCTTGACCTTAGTGTTTTAACACTGTGCTCTAACCAAATGAGCTAACTGGCCAGCCCAAATAATTCACTTTTTACCTTTATGTCAAAGTATAGCAGTCATACACCAAGTAATTCTGTTTTTTTTTTTTTTTTTTTAATTTATGATTATAGTTTTACTTCAGCAAAAGGATACAAATCAGAACCAGTGAAATAAAGAGACTCATAGGGTAAAGTCTAGGACAGTTGTAAATGCAAAGCTTCCTTCATCCTCAGGGCTGTGTTTCCCTCCAAAGAGTATTGCCAGCCAGAGAAGCTTACCTGAGCCTTTGGTGTCCAGGGTTTTTATTGGAGCTTGATCACATGCTGCCCTTGTGGTTGACCTCTTCATCCTCTCCCATTGGTTTGGGCTAATACCTTTCGTCTGTAGTTCCTGTGGAGGTCAGAGCTGATATGGCATGTTCCAAAGCCTGAATCACAAATCACATTCTTAGACTGTCTGGTGGACAAAGCCACCAGGCAAACAAAAACACTTGTATCAGGCAGGACATTCCAGGGACCTATAGATGACCTCCCGCTAGCTGAGATCAAAGGCCAGATCTCCTTTTTGGTTAAGTTAACTCTTTGCTACACAGATGGCATGAGAATAAGATGAAGCAAATATGGACTCCTTGTACTATGTATGCTGTTTCTCATACACAAAGGTCTTTAGATATTTCTTTTTTTTTCTTTTAATTTTTAAATTTTTTTATTGTAGATATCCTTTCTAAAAAGAAATACACATCTCAGTTGGTTTGTGATGCAAATTTGGCTGTTCTAACAAGGACCCAAAATAACATTGGTTCAAAGAACATAAGTCAGTTTCTCTCTCACATGAAGGTTCAAGGTAGTCTGGAGGTTGTGACCGCCCACAAAGCTGTAAGGTGCCCTGGATGGTTGGGAAATGTGGTTGGGAAATGTTTTGGCTTACCTATTCGTTAAGAAAAGGTTTTTACCTTTCTCTTAAAGGCGCAATCCAGAAGTTGTTAACATCAATTACACTCATGTTCCATTGGTCAGAACTTAGCTTTGTGGTTGGGAAGTGTAGTCCTAGCTAGATGCCACTTGCCCAGCAGATAATTCAACTATCATGGAAAGAGAGAATGCCCAAGTAATTCACTTTTCATTGATTTATTATTCCAGTCTGAAAAGTCAAAAACAGTGTTTTGATGTAGGAGGCCCTCCAAAATTGCAAAAGGAACTAATTAATGAAAATAATTATTTTTTGAAATAAGTAATGAAAAATTAAATATATTAACATCATACCTTTAAAAAGTATATTACGGTAAATGTAACTTTTTCCTTTATCTTTATTTTCTTCCTCATATAACCAGACTGTCCTGTGTGGTATGGGGGAGTTACATATTGAGATTATTCATGACCGAATCAAGAGGGAGTATGGACTAGAGACCTATCTAGGGCCTCTGCAGGTGGCATATCGAGAGACCATCCTAAACTCAGTTCGTGCCATAGGTAAGAAATAAAACATTTAGGACTTTGTTTTTGTGTCCCCCTCTCTCACTCCTCTCCCCTCCCACCCTTACCTCTCATTCCTTAAAGCAGGGTTCACAGTTACCAGTGTCCCATTACAGGAGACAGTTTTTATATGTGAGTTCTTTTGTTTTTTTAAGATTTTCTTTTTTTGGGTTTTAACAAAGAAAGCCCTATTTCATTACCATCCATGATATCTGCTGGATAAGCCACTGTGCTTTTCAGTGGTTATGAGATAGAATGAGCCGTTGAACTAGATGGCTCATTCCAATCCTCACTGCAAGGATGAGTATGAGAATTTGAAATTGATGTATTATTTTTCTCTATAAAGTAAAAATATAAAATTAATTTCACTGTTTAAAAAATGTGATAATCCCATGCTGATAGTATTCTTGACAAAGTGCAGTTTTTATATTTCTATATTTACATATTCCAAAATGTAGGAGAGAATTTGAAATTGATGTATTATTTTTCTCTATAAAGTAAAAATATAAAATTAATTTCACTATTTAAAAAATGTGATAATCCCATGCTGATAGTATTCTTGACAAAGTGCAGTTTTTATATTTCTATATTTACATATTCCAAAATGTAGGAACTTGTAATTTTTCTGCATATGGTAATTCCAGTTTGGTTCTATTAAGCAAAAGAACATGATAGCAATTATTGCTACTCATCCCCAAAGAGAAAGCATAGACAGGTTTATGAAATAATATAGAAAAAAGATAGGATAACCAGGTGCTTTTAAGCCCCTTGATACTTTGTGGAAAGTCCAGGTGGTTATGCTTCACTGAAACTTGAAAAGTTAAACAAGCAGAATATAGGAGCAAGTGACACGAGGAATTCTGTTTCTGGACTATATATTTGGAAAAACTAAAAATGCCAGAAAAACATAAAAACATCTTTTAAATTAATGTCTGAGCCGGTTAGAATGTAACAGCAGTTTCCAAGAGGTCAAAAAGGAGGCAGGAGTAGTAATCTAGGAAACTAAGTGCCACAGCCAGTAGCTATTCTTGAGGAATCTGTAATCATCTCCAACTTAGCACTTGAGGGCCACATCCTCATGGAAAGAGGACAAGTCCTCTCTGCAAAAGCAGGGGGCAAGGCAACTTGTCTCTTTGGCTCTGGGGGCTGGGGGCAAATTTTCTGAGAATTTGTAATCATAGGCTTTTGACAGAAGTTTTTCACCTAAATTCATAGAACTGGTATGACCTGATAAACTCCAAACCAAGAAGAATTTAGTTTGAAGTGCTCACGGATTGGTAGTTTTCCAAGGAACATGGAAAAAACAAAGGGTCTCTCCAGAGATATTTCTTCATCCCAGGCCTCAAAGAAATCCCACACATTAAAGAATATGAACTCACAATAAATTTTTTTAAAAATCATAAAACCATGAAAAGCACAGTGATCAAAAAGGCAATAGAAATGACAAACACTAGAGTCAGACCAGCAAAGGCTTCAGATACTGGAATTATCAGATGCAGAATATAAAAGGAAGTATTAATAAGGTATGAGACTATCAGGATAACCAGACAATGGCATGATCTCACATATATGTGGAATTTTAAAAAGTTGAACTTACAGAAGTAGAGTTGGTTAGTGGTCTGGTAGGGTGGGGTAGTGGGGAAGGGCGGGGATACATTGATCAAAGGATGCTGTCAGACAGGAGGAATAGGTTCTGGTGATCTGTTGCACATCATGGTGACTATAGTTAATGTATATTTCAAAATAGCTAAAAAAATGGATTTTAAATGTTATCATCACAAAGAAATGATAAGTATTTGAGGTGATGGATATGTTAATTAGCCTGATTTGATCATTCCACAATATATACATGTATCATCACATTGTACCCCATAAATATATACAATTATCATTTGTTAGTTAAAAATAAAATAAAACTTGAAAAAAAATAAGCAGGCAATGGAACATCATACTATGAGTGAAAGAAGGGAAATGCTCAAAAAATGAATGAGGGGGTGACTATCATAGGGAAACAGAAGCTGGCTTGGAGAGGCTCCACTGGCTGAATCTGGATTAATTTGAACACCAAGATAATTAAATACAGTCATGCACCAAATAACTATGATTACGTCAACAGTGGATCACATATACAACAGTGGTCCCATAAGATTATAATGGAGCTGAAAAATTCCCATTTCCTAGTTACATAACTACACTGTGGTGTTTGCACAAAGATGAAATTGCCTAATGACACATTTCTCAGAACACATCCCCATTGTTAAGTGACGTATGACTGTACAATAATTGTAGACCATTGAGAAAAAAATAGGAATATGAGGGTCCATACTGATAAATACGTAGCTTAATAACTGTGGAAGAAGAAGAAGTGTTCTTCCTTATAGTGGAATGCCAAGTGCTGACTGTTAGAAGTTGGGAGAAGGGTGGGAGAAGGGCTGGAGTTGGAAAATAGACCAGGTGACTTTCACCAACATGGAGCAAAAGCAAGTTGCAGAAAACATACAGTGTAATAACAAATTCAAAATGAAGCAGAAGTAAACTATTACTTAGGGATACATGCATATGTGATATGACTCCAAGGGAAATCATTGAGTGATTAAATGTGATAGTGGCTTCAGAAGGCTTCTAAATACTGGGTAATACTGTTTCTTCAGTAGTTTTAGCTTTCATGAATGCTCGTTTTATTTTTAGCTTATGCGTGTATTTTTAAATATAAAATATTTTATAATGTAAAAGTAAGCTTAAGAAGGACTTATGAAGAATTGTAGATTATAATTAACTCTTGGTTTTAAATTTGGGCTGTGAGTCACTGTGTTACATGGCCACTCACATAAATACATCATAGTTTTGTTTGAGTAAAATATTGGAGATTGGTAACAGCTATTGGTTGTTGGCAAATAAGAGATACTGTTTTCAGTCTTACAAAAACCACTTTACTAGTTTTCTGGGAAAGAAATCATAAAGTGCATAAAATATTACTGCAAGAATATACAGAATTTAAGTTTGTGGATTGGCAGGGTTCAAACCTTTTAATTTTCATTTGCTAACCTTTTACAGTCTTGAAATGTTTTATCATTTGATGTATTACTTTCTAAGAAAAAGTTTGTAACTGAAAGAATTTTAATCACATAAGAGATGTATAAAAGTATAATCTTCATATCATGTGCCTCAACACATCTTAACACAAACAATATTAATAGGTGATAACAGAGCAGGTTTTGACATTGATAAACAGGAAAGTAGATGTTTTATTGGTAGAACTGTTTATATTGTGTTCAGTGCCATTGTTAGTATTCTCTCCTACTTTATCTTCTATGAGACCTTGAGCTTATTGATTCTAATTTTGCCTGTTGTATCACCTTGACACCTTTCCAGAACAAATCTCTGAGTTACCATATTTAATTTGTTTGCATGCAGATACCTTAGATAGAACTTTAGGAGACAGACGGCATCTTGTGACTGTAGAACTGGAAGCAAGGCCAATTGAAACATCATCTGTTATGCCAGTGATTGAGTATGCTGAAAGTGTTAGTGAAGACCTTTTGAACGTCTCCCAAGAGGCCATTGAAAATGGAATTCATAGTGCATGCCTCCAAGGTAAGGTACTCAAACACAGTTATGCACCACATAATCATGTTTCTGTTGGTGACAGACCACATACACAGTGGTGGTCGGAGCAATAGGCTATCTCATGTAGCCTAGGTGTGTAGTAGACTATACCGTTTAGGTTTGTATAAGTACACCCTGTGATTGCTGAACGACAAAATCACCTAATGTAGCATTTCTCAGAAGTATTTTCGTTGTTCAGTGACACATGCCTGTAAGAGTATTAGTATCACGCTTGACCATTTAATCACTCTTTATGTTACAGATTATTTCAGTCTTTCTTTCTAACTTTATTATTGTTTTCTATTTCTTTGCACTTCTCAGTTATTCCTTACTACGTATTGAGTCTTGTTAGTACAATAGCTTTTTTCCCTTGTCTAGGACCATTGCTTGGATCCCCAATTCAAGATGTGGCAATTACTTTACATTCACTCATAATTCATCCTGGTACCTCCACAACTATGATTTCTGCCTGTGTCTCAAGATGCGTACAAAAGGTATAGAACTATCTTAGTGCTTTTTGCTTTAAGGTGACTCTACTGAGTACAGTACCACTGATCTGTAGACAGCTGTGCTTATAGTGCCTTACCTTGTGTCTTTGCCTCCTGAGCCTTATGGTCAACAAGGACAGAAGGAGTTCTTAACTGTGGAGAGTCTTACACTTCCTTAATCACCAGCTTTTTATTTGAAAGAGGACCTTAAAAATGACTGTGTAACACAGATTGCTATTGAAATATCCTCTGATTTTGGCAAAGAGGCAAGTTTCCATAAGTGGCATCTTTGCATTCTCCCTCCAGACATGCAGCCACTGGAAGCAAGCTTGGTAGGTTTGAGCAGAAGATATATCTGGGGTTAGCTTGGCCCCCCTGAAGAACAGATTCAGGGTGAGCATCTTCCCTTCTCAAAACATCAAGGAATTTGGTCTTCTTGATGTGGTTACCTGGGGGAATGTCCTTGAGTGTTGTGTGGACGCTCTGTTTCCTGCCTCAGTAACCTACCAGAGCAGAACTGGATTAACTCCTAGGAGTGTGGTGTGCTGCGTGCCAATTCCATGCATTCTTCTCAGCATTAGAATGCCCTAGTTTCGTAGGTGATAGATTTTTGCATTGTAACACTTGCTTTAATAATCATCTTATAATACTTGAACTGTGTTTGATACCTGATTTAATATAATCTTATTTGAATCCATGATTATAAATTTAATTTAAATACCCCTAGTCCCTGACTTAAGAAGGCTGAACTTAATTTCATATAAGTTCAAATTTATACTTTTTAAAAAACCTTTTTTAAAAAAAAAAAAAAAAAAATTATTTTTGGCAGCTAGCCCAAGTACAGGGATAGAACCCTGGACCTTGGTGTTATCAGCCCCATGCTCAAACCAACTAAGCTAACTGGCCAGCCCCTTTAAAAACCTTTTTGATTAAAGCTATGCTTTGAAAAAATAAAATTAAATATTGTTCACCTAAGAGTATGGTTATAAATAGTGCCTACAGCGTAGTCATAATTATGGATTGAGAACATTCACCTTCAAGTAATTTGTAAAGTTTCTCCTGAAGCTGGTTTTAATATTGAAATAACGGTAATCTAAAAGATGATATAATTTTCTAAATTAGCCCCAAGTCCCAGTATATTGGCCTATCCTTCAAAATGTAATATGTCTTCTAAAAATAAAATGTAAGTATTTCTGAGCTAATTAGCCTTTTGGATAAGATTGTACTAGAGAACAGGAATTAACTTTATGGAGCTTACCTTTAGTCTTTAGTTTTAATTCAGTACTTTAAATGAAATACTCCCAATGGGAGTACTCCTACCCATTAAGCTTCATCTAGTGAGGAAGCTCCTTTTCTCTGCGTACAAGAAGTTAATGGTACCTCACGCATTTATTGAGCCGTCCATGTTGTGCTTACTGTTTATCAATACTGGTCTTTGGTAACAGTTCACTGGGCACTGAGAAGGACACAGATAGGATGATTTTATTTTTCTCTACCTAAAGGACCTTATGCTTTAGTAAGGAATTAAATATAGCCAAATAATCAATGTATTAGATAGAACAATCAACTTATTAGGTAGAATGCCATAAAAGTTAGGAAGCAGGGAATTAGGGAAGATTCTTGGAAAGAAATAAATATTTGAGTTGTGATGATTTTAGAGGATTTGGGCATAGTGAGGGACATTCCAGACAGAGAGGTAAAAGAGTCCCTTTGGCTGTAGTAGTGGGTGAAGAAGGCAGGGGAGTAGTGAAAAATAGTGTTAGGAAAGTGAAGTGGCGTCAGACTGTAGAGAACTACATTAAGGAGTTTGAACCTTGTTCTGAAAATAGTTCAGAATAAAATTTCCAAAGAGGGAAGTATAATCATTAGAGTCCAGAAGGGATTGGAGTAGGGAGAAGATAGACTAGGACAGGAAATGGACCAGGTCTGAACTAGGATACCAGCAATAGGAATGGAAATCTTACAGCTTACTAGGGGAAAAGGAAGTCAAAGATGCATGTCCAAGTGATGCTATCGACAGAAACAGGGAAGTGCAGAGAAGAGTGTTTGCAAAACTGAGCTCATCATTTGCTTTGGGGCATACTGGGGAGCTGTATGGTATTCAGACACTAACTCAAAGCAGGCCAATGGGGTACAAGACTAGAGCAGTCAAAGAGTGTGGGCTGGGTAGGATTTAAAGTTTTCGAGGAAGCCATGTACTTGCAGAAGGTGTTTTTGAAACTCTGCAATTAGGCAATATTGCCAAGGAAGGCGGTGAAAAGAGAACTAAAGGCAGTTCTGTGAGCATAGTACATCCTATTAAGTTACAAAGAGTTCAGTGCTTTCTCAGTTGTAGCATTTTTCCTCTTAATTTTTAACTTTCCCTACTTCATTTTATTCTGAAAGACATTTTCAGTTTCCATAAATATATACATATAGGTGAAAATGGAAGTCAGCTTTTATTCAGGAATACCAGTGACCTAAGGAGCATATTCTTTTCTTTATGTGCATGTTCTTCTCGGCCTTTGAAGTCTAAGATTCTAAACAGAAACAAGAAATGGTTTATTTTAAACAGAATGTGTTCGGCTACCTTATTGTGTTAAAAAAAAAAAACACGTTTTTTTTTGTTTTTTTTCCTTGGTTGCCTTCTCTGGCATGTGGCATAGACTATAACTGTAGACATCAGGAACAGAAACATGAGGTTTAAATATGAAAGAATCAATCTTTGAAAGGGGAAGACTGTATTCTTTCTGTGATACTGGCCACATGTTCCCAGGAGTTCTATAATCAAGCTTTTTGAAGTACCCCCTTGCAACATACCATACAAGAGATCTAGACATACTGTTACCGTGCATGTACAGGCAAACACTGAAGTTCTTGACTTCTTATAAGTTATGTTTATAAAGAGAGTTAAAGCAACCTTGTCTTTTGCTAGAGCCCTAGGCTTAAGAGTATCAGCAGTATTAAAGTTATGATTTTTTTAAATAGAAATTTGATTTCTGATTTATGAAAGAGGGGTTTACGTTCTTTAATTTCTTTAGGCTCTGAAGAATGCTGATAAGCAAGTTTTAGAGCCTCTGATGAATCTCGAGGTTACAGTGACTAGCAATTACCTCAGCTCTGTCCTGGCAGATCTGGCACAAAGAAGAGGGAACATACAGGAAATCCAGACTCGCCAGGACAACAAAGTTGTTATTGGATTTGTTCCCTTAGCAGAAATTATGGTAGGTACTTTGTGAAAGAAAAGTACATATTCTTTTTTTAATCCAGGATGTATATATGCCAAGTAAAAATAGGTAATCAGACACCTAAAAGAAGCATCAGGGCTTTGATTTAGTGTGTTTCAACCATCAGGAATGGTTAGGACTCTGGATTTAAGTAGTTGAGGAAATCCAGGGATTACAGCCTTTCAGGGGATTGTTTCTTTTCTTTCTTTCTTTTTTTTTTTCTTTTTTTCTTTTTTACTGACCGGCAACG